CTTCCTCCCTTCTGTTTGCTTGGGTTCCTTTTGTTAGTTTTCCAACTGCTTAAGCTGAGCAGTTATGTTATTTATATGGTCCCTTTCTTGCTTCCAAATGAATGCTTGCATCACTATAAACTTTCCTCTTAACTTTCTCTGAGTCCCATATGTTCTGGTAGCTAGTTATCTTCATTCTTATTTGTTTCCAGGGATGTTTTTATTTCCTCTCTATTTTCCTCTTTTAACTGCTGGTTGTTCAGTAGTGAGTTGTTTCATTTCCACATGTTCAAGTTTTTGCTCATTTCTCTGTGAGATTAACTTTCATTTTCAATGTATTATGGCCTAAGAGTATAGTTGACACAGTTTCTATCATCTTGATTTTACAGAGGTTTCATTTGTAACCCAACATGTATTCTGTGTTGAAGAACGTCCCAGGTATACTAGAGAAGACTGTGTATTTGACTTTTGGGGGATGAAGAGTTCTGTATGTCTTCCATCTCCTTCATTTCTTCCTTCAAAGCCAGTGTTTCTTTGTTTGATTTTAGCCTAGTTGATCTATCCAGAGGTGAGAGAATGGTGTCAAAGTCTCCCACTATTGTTGTGTTGCTTTCATTATCTTCCTTCAAATCTCTTAGCAGTTCCTTTAAGCATTTTGATAGTCCATCATTATGTGTATAAATATTTAGGAATATGAATATTTCACAATATACATATCTCTTGATCATTAAGAAATAACGTTCTCTTACCCTTATAACTTGTTTTTGGTTTTCAGGCCACACAAATTGTGCTCAGGACATACTCCGGGCTCTGCTCTCAGGATTTACTCCTGGTGGGGCTCAGAGACCATATGGCATGCCAGAGATCAAACCTGGGTCAGCTGCATGCAAGGAAAGCTCCCTATCCACTGGACTATCTCTCCAGCGATCCTCCTTATAACTTTTTTTCTACTTTTTGGGTCACACCCGGCGATGCACAGGGGTTACTCCTGGTCTGCACTCAGGAATTACTCCTGGCAGTGATTGGGGGACCACATGGGATGCTGGGAATCGAACCAGCTTGGCTGCATGCAAGGCAAACGCCCTACCAGCTGTACTATTGCTCCAGCCCCTCCTTATAACTTTTAAAGCTTAAAGTCTACGTTGTCTGATATAAGTATGGCAACCTGGCCATTTGAAAGAAATTGTTGGTTTGAAATATCATTTCCAGCCTCTGACTCTGAGCCTTTGCCTGACTGTTCAAATGTGTCTCTTGTAAACACCAGAAAGTTGGGTTCAGTTTTTTGATCTACACTGCCACTCTGTGTCACTTGATTGGTACATTTAGGCCATTGATGTTGAGTGAGATTATGAACATGAAAGAGATTCGCCATCACTGTGAATGCCCCGTCACTGTGTCTTGCAAAGTTGTTTTCAAGGCTGTGAAGTTCCTGAGATGTTACTTATCTGTGAAGTTCTGCATTGTTCTTCGGACCTGAATGCTAGTCTAGCTAGGTATTCTTGAGGACATGTTCAAATATCGTTGAGTTTTTGTTTAGTATCTCCTACCATTTTTGCTGTGCATCTTTTTGTTTGTCCTTTGGGCCACACCTGGGGGTGTTCAGGGCTTATTCCTGACTCTGAACTCAGAAATCTCTCCTGGGGGAGCTGAGGGGACCATATGGGGTGCTGGGACTTGAACCTGGGTCGGCGCCCTGCAAAGCAAGTGCCCTATTCACAGTACTAGCTCTCCAGCCCCTCTGCTGTGAATCTTAAGGAAGAGCCTTTTGTATGTAATTTCCTTCTTTGATCTTGCTGCTTTCAATATTCGATCTCTTTCTTTGGCTTTTGTCATTCTGATTATAATGTGTGTTGGATTATTTTCATCTGGGTCTCTTTCAGCTAGGACCCTTTGGGCTTCTTGAAACTAGATGCAGACACTTCTCAGCTATGGGAACTTCTCAACTGTGATTTCTCTGACTGTTTCTTTGTCAATATCATTTTCCTATTCCTCCAGTTCTCAGAAGAGTCTTGTTGTTCCCCTTGAACTCATCCCATAGTTGTTATGGGATCTTCACTGACTTTGTGACTTTTCCCTGTCTTCTGTTGTTTTCTAGAGGTTTCCTGCTTCTGATCTTGAAGCTCACTGATTTGTCCTCAGCTGCCAAGACCTTCCACTGAGATTCTGATTTCACCTGAGCTCTGAGTTCTGTCACTTCTGATTATAGTTTTGTCATTTCTGACCTCATACTTCCTTGCACCTGTATCACAGCTTTGAGCACTTGAAACATTCTCAGCATCTTCTCTCTAAAGTCTTTATCTGAGATGTTAGCCAGCTGGTTCGTACTGGTCAGGTCTTCTGAGCTACTTTCTTCACTCACTGAGCATGGTGGGGTTCAATGCTGCTTCTCCATCACATCTGTTGCATCTGGGGGTGAGTCTTCCTAATTTACCACACCCATGTCCGCACACCAGGAAGCTCTCCAAAGGATTCTGATGATTGTTGCTCTCTTCCTTCTCACTAGCTGTCTGGAGTTTTGTGTGAGTGTTCCAGGGCTACTTTTCCTGTCATTGACCTGCTTTGTCTATTCTGGTTGTAATTAGTTTTCTGTGACTTCATGCTACTACTTTCCAGTATTGGTTACATGTGTGCATTTTGGTGGGAACAGGTGTTCAAACTCAGGGCCTTGCAGGAGCCAGAGGTACTCACCACTAAGCCACACCCGGCCCCAGTGTTGGCCTCTTATGCTGCTAAGTGATTTGTTCCCCAAGGTTGACTGATAGCAATGTCTCTTCCAAACCCACTTTCATTTGTTATAGTACAATATACCATTATATGTTTCATTTTATTTGGATGGGTAGTTGAGTCAGATCTGGTGGTACTCAGGACGTAGCCGTGGCTCCTAATTTCTTGAACGGGCTATTTTAAGCACTGTGCTCGCTCTCATCCATTCTCCTCATCTCACTTATCCTTACCTTACCTGCTTACCTATCCGCCTATCAGCTCTCTATCTGTCCATCTACCCACCTACGTTCCCAGTATCTAGCATCAGCCTCTATTATCCACCCAGCTACTGGCGCTTCCATTCACCTATCCGTCGCTTGTCTAGTCTATCTGCCCATCTCGCCTTTGCCTGTCTGGCACCTGGCTGCCTGCCTAGGTAATCTGCCTTCCTATCACTTACTACCCACTGTCTGTCTATTTAGTTCTTCATTCATTCATTCATCTTTTTCTTGTTTGAGGGCCACACCTAGAAGCACTCAGAGCTCACTCTTGGCTGTGTTCAGGGATCACTCCTGGTGGTGCTCGGCGTACCCTATGCCGTGTTGGGGATAGAATCTGGGTGAGCCACGTGCAAGGTAAGTGCCCTACCTACTGTACTGTCTCTTTGGCCCTGTCCATCCTTTTCTCATGATGCTGGAAATCAAACCAGGGACTCCCACCTCAAGACGTATGCTCTATCACTCGGCCACCTCTGCGTCTCTCTGCCTCTCCCTTTCTGGCTATCATCATTTGCCTGTGTTTCTATGCATCTGTCTGGCTCCACACGTTTATGCTCCCTATGGACCATGAGATTTGCACACACACACATTTGTCCTGTGTGTCATGGACTAGTGTCTCTAGCAATCTTTCATACCTCCCTACCTATCCATCCTGTTTGTCATCTGTGTCCGACTTGCTTGTTGTCCACTGTCTGTCAGTCTATCCCTCTCAGTTCTGTCATCTGTCATGTACCTAGAACCTTTCACCTAATCTGTCATCTACAAATCATCTGTTTTTTTCTTTTTTTGCTTTTTGGGTCACACACGGCGATGCACAGGGGTTACTCCTGGTTCTGTACTCAGGAATTACTCCTGGTGGTGCTGGGGGGACCATATGGGATGCTGGGAATCGAACCCGGGTCGGCTGCATGCAAGGCAAACACTCTACCCGCTGTGCTATCGCTCCAGCCCCTCATCTCTGATCAATGCATGTGCCATTTCTCGTGTAATCTTTAAAATATTTGATTGGGGGTGGGGTGGACAATACTTGGTGGTGCTCTGGAGCTATTCCTGAGATTGGGGGTTGCTCCCGGCAGTGTTCCGGGGACCGGGTGGTGGAAAGGATCAAACCAGCGTCGGCTGTGTGCCCTATCCTCTGTTCTATCTCTCTGGGTCCATTTCTCACAAATCTCTCATGTTCCTTGTCCAAGAACCTTCTATCATCTAACACCTGAGTTACCTTGCAGGGGGACGTCCAGATGGCATTTTCCCTTCACAGAGCACGATGCAGCACCAGCAGCGGCCAGAACCTTTGAATTCCAGAACACTTCCATCATCCCAAAGGGAAACCTTGTCTCCAAAGCAGTCTCGGCCCAGCCCGACACCACTACTCTGCCTGTGTCCCCACAGATGCAGCCCAGGGGGTGGTCTCGGGCTGCTGACCCAGGTGGCAGACTTACCACCGTGAGGGTGCTGTCCAGCAGTGGCTGAGGCAGCCCGGGAGCCCCGGTGCGTGTCGGGGGCACTGCGGTGGGGGTGTAGCTATGGCCTTTGCGTGCCTCCTGTGTCCTGCCTCCTCTCCCGCTTCACCCTGTCAGTCCCGGGCCCCAGCACCCACTTTCATTCTTTCTGGCAGCGTGGCCCCCCAGCACCCTGATGTGTGACTTGAGGGTGATGGTGGGCTGTGGCACGCCGCTTCTTCTCCACTGGCATTTGCTGTCCTGAGGCGCCTTTACAGTGTGTGCACTGGAAACGCCCCAGCCAGAAAGAGGCCATCGCCGCCCCAACATGTGCCCGAGTGCCATGTGTGCTAGCACTGAACCCCACCCAAGCCCCTCTGAGCAAGATGAGAGAGGCCAGGAGCTGGAGCAATAGCACAGTGGGTAGGGCGTTTGCCTTGCACGCGGCCGACCCGGGTTCGATTCCCAGCATCCCATAGGGTCCCCTGAGCACCGCCAGGGGTAATTCCTGAGTGCAGAGCCAGGAGTAACCCCTGTGCATCGCCGGGTGTGATCCAAAAAAAAAAAAAAAAGGATGAGAGAGGCTGGACTCAGTCTCTACCAGAGGTTTTACTGAAAAGGACCAAAGGCGGCTCCAGGCCCAAGGGCTGAGGGCCCGGAAAGGCACGGCGGCGGCGGCGACGACGGCAGCGGCGGGGCCTCCTCTGGGACCAGAGGCCAGCTTGGCAGTCCCAGCGCCCCAGCTGACTGACCCCTCTTTGGCACTGAGCTGGAACGTGGGTACCCTCCCTCCCTGCATCCACCCCCGCTTGCTCGGGCTGGCAGTGTAGGCTGGTGGGGTGATGGCTGCCTCCCCCGCTGGCACGGAGCTCAGGTTGGCGACGTCGATGCTTCCAGACGGGAAGGCAATAAATTAGCTGTGGCAGGAGGCAGGGGGCACGTTCTTCACGGGGCTTGCTGGGAAATGCTGTGCAAATGTGGCTCAGCGCTCCAGGCGCCCGGCGGCGCGAGGGCGGGACGGGGACGGCTGTGCCCGGGGCGCCGCTTTGGCAGCTTCTGTGGCATGAGGGACATCGCACGGGATGGGAACTGGGGACCAGCAAGGGGCCACTGAGTCTTTCACACGGAAAAGACTCCACTGGGGTGCAGGAAAGAGGCAGGCAGGGCGCGGCCCCTCCATCGTTTCCTTGCCTGAGGTAGGGGCGGGACCGGGACCCCACCTGCTTTGTGGCCGACCTGGGCGGAGGGAGAGGCACGGTGTGGGGACCGGGGGCTGCACTTTCCTTCATGTGATCCGAGGGCTGGGGCGCTGGGCAAGGAGAGAGGCGGTCAGGTGGTGCTCTCCGGCTCACCTGCCGCCTCTTGGCCCAGAATCTGGCACAGCTCTTGCAGGCGCTGCTGCATGGCGGGAATGCCGGCCAGCTGCTGCTCAAGCCGCTGCTTCTCCTCCGTCAGGCTCAGGCGGGCCGCCGAGTCCAGTTTCTCGAACTTCCAGCCGCCCTCCCCGTCGAACTGCAGCAGGTGCGTGTGGTACTTCCTGCGCAGGAGAGGGACAGGGACCCAGGTGCAGGGGCGCCCCAGCTGGAGCCAGGGCCTGGCCCGCCCCCCGGCCTCCACGGGGACAGAGGGCACCTACCACAGAGAGGGCCGGTGCGTGATGGAGAGCAGGGCGATGCCCGCGTCCTTGGCTGCCTGGAAGATCTTCCCTTCCACGTCAATGCTCACGGCGCTGGTACACTCATCCAGGAGGGCATACTTGGGCCTGGGGGCGCAGGGGAGCAGGCTACTGACCGGCCCCTCGCCGCCTGAGACCCCACCTCCTGGAAGCCCCGGGGCAGGGGGCTCACTTGTGGTAGAACATGCGGGCCATGCCAATCCGCTGCTTCTCGCCCCCCGAGAGGACGTCCTTCCAGTCACACACGGCGTTCCAACCTGGGGGGCAACCAGCACCTGAGTCAGCAAACCGGACCTGGAGCCGCATGCGGGAGCCTAAGCCACACGCCTGCGGGGGCTTATTTGGAGACAGGCATGGGGAAGCGGCAAATGGTGGGGTCCTGGGCACCCCCACCTACACACCACAGCTCTGGGCTCCAGTCTCCAGGCCTCTGCTGCTGGTCCCCCTTTCTGCTCTCGTCAGCAGCCCCCTCATGCTCTGACTGGGTGGGTGCTGGGTAGGTGCCAGCCACAGGTGGGGAGGCCTCCTTGGCCCCTCTATACGCCCCGGCTCCCTGCAGCCTGGGAATGCTCACCACCGATATACAGAGTGACCCTCTCTAGCCTGCTGCGGCAGGGGTGGGAGTCACATGGAACCGTGGACATAGTCCCCTGGTGGCCCTTTCTAGTACATTCGCATGCCCTTGCCAGTCCTGGCCCTTCCTCGGTCCTCTCAGCCAGGAGGGAACAGGACAGCACAGAGTGGGAGTCAGTGTGAATGGTGGGCACGTGGGGTGCCCCCGAGGCTGAGCACTGGCACACTCCCACGGAGAGGTGTCAGGGCCCCAGAAGGTAGACACAGGAGTGCTAGTCTTCCCCTGCCGCCCCCCAGGCACCCAGGAGTGCAGATAGGGGGACCTAGGACCCCCATGGAGTGTCCAGTGCTCACCTTTCACTGCCAGCTGTGCCCAGCAGGGGGCTCCTGGAGGCCCTAGCACTTTGGACTCTGTATGGTAAAACAAGTTGCCACCCACGGCCAGGCTGAGTTTGGGGACAAAGGGCGATTGATCCCCACCTGCCGGCAGGGCCCACCCCTACCTCCCTCCCGCTGCAGGATGTGACGCAGGTGCACAATGTCCAGGATGGCCTCCAGCTGCTGCTCCGAGCAGCCCTTCCTCCGCATGGCCTCCTCCGAGTCGGGGTAGATCACCTGGTCACGTAGGGAGCCCACCGACATGTAGGGCCTGTGGGACAGCGGTGTGGGCACGAGGGACTCAGGGTGGGATGCACAGCACACGCCTAGTGATACACACACACAGCCCTACACACATGTGGACACACACACACACACACCCTACACAAACATGCACCTAGAAATCTGCACACACACATGCATTCGGCAATCCACACACACACTTACAAACATGTGCACCCAGCAATCTACACACATGCACAAACATCCCCACACACACTCAGCAACCCACACAGACACACGCACTCACACATACCTACATACATGTGCACTGGCAAGCCACACACACCTGCACACACACAATGTGTTCCTGCCACGCCAGGGCCTACACATTCCTATGCACACATCTGCAGACAGACACATATGCTCACCCACGTACCCAGAGCGCCCAGCAGAGGTTCCCAAAGTTACCTGCCTACTGTCTCTGTTTCTAAACAGCGCCCTCCAGCCCAGAAATCTACCTTCTTTATGGTTTGTTATTTGTTTGGGGTTTTTGTTTGTTCTTGGGCCACACCTAGTGATACTCAAGGGCTTCTCCTAGGTTTGCACTCAGGAATGACTCCTGGCAGTGCTCAGTGGCCCAGATGTGATGCAGAGGATCAAACCTGGGTCAGCCACATGGGAAGCAAATGCCTTCCCTGCTGTACTGTGGCTCTAGCCCCTTTGTTGTTTATTAGTTTGGCCCCACGTGACAGTTTTCAAGGCCTCCTTTTGGCCCTGTGCTCAGGGACCACTCCTGGTGCAGTTCACAGAACCATGTTGGGTACCGGGCTTTCAAACCAGGGTCAGGCATGAAAGGCAAGAGCCTTAACTCCTGTCTCTGGGGGAAATCTACCTTCCTGTGTTTTGGTTATTGGTTTGGGTTTGGGGGCTGCATTGCCTGTGCTCAAGTCTCATTCCTGGCAGGGCTTGGGGGACCCCGTGGGAATCAAACCAGAAGTGGTTGCGTGCAAGGCAGTTACTTGACCTGCTCTAGTGTGTCCCGCCCTTCTGATCAACCGCTCTGCCCGTCGGGCAGGGGCACACGCACATAGTCAAGCGCCCGCAGCCCGGTCCACGCACCTCTGCGGAATGTAGAACATGTGCCGTGGCGGGGGTTTGTAGAGCGCGCCGCCGTACGTGGGCCACAGCCCACCCAGGATCCGGAACAGCGAGCTCTTGCCACAGCCGTTGGGGCCCGTGATGAGCAGGTGCATGCCCTCCTCCACCTGTGGGCAGTGCTGGACTAAATCAGGGGTCCCCACACCCCCAAAGGCTCAGAGAAGGGGCAGGGGCCTCAAATTTCGGGAGCCCGAACTGAACCCGGACTTGGACCCCCACCCTGTCCCTTCAAGCCCTACCAGCAGCTCCCCCAAGGGGTGGACACACCAGCAAGCCCCGGCAGCCCCGGGCCACACCATCCTGTTCCCACTGGGCCGCGCCTGAAAGGCACCTTCGGGGTGCAGCTTTGCGCTTCATGCCCTGCCAGGCCCCGGTGCCTGTGGCCTTGTCCCGGTGCCACGAAGCTCCGCTTCCCCTTGGGGGACTAGCAGGGCTGCGGAGCTGGGGACACAACTGGCCCCCGGCCCACTCCCTGCCATGACAGCAGCACTCTGGCTTCCCTCAGTCTGTGTGATGGGGTTCCCCCAATGCAAAGGACCCCCAACGCGTCAGAATCTCACTGTATTCGGAGCCAGAGTCCAGGCGGATGCAAGTGGGCGTACTTAGGCATGGCCATGGGGTGTACTTATGTAGAGGGCACATGCGGAAGACGTGCCCGGGGAGGAGGCCCGCGAGGCTTTAGCAGACAGACAGGCCTGCTTGGGTCCCCATCTGGCCTGGGTCCCCCATCTCCTTCCCTACCCCTGGCTGGCCATGCTGACCCACTTCCCCTCTCAGAACATCAGAGGCTGCCCTTGCCGAGTCCCCCAGCCCAGGCCTGGCTCACTGCCCTCTGCTGTGGGTGACCCCTGGCCTCCCGGGGGCTCCAGGGTGTGCCTCTCCCCTGACCTGGGCACAGGCCTATTGACCCAGCCGCTTGGCATCTACACCCAGCATGCCCTGAACTCCAGGTCCCTTAGGACCCAACTCTAGGGGCTACCGCCCAGCAAGCCCCCAACCAGGCACCATGCCATGGCCAAGAGCATGCCCAGGGCAACCCCTACCAGCCAAGTGCCCAAGTCCTGAGCTTTGCGGGGGGCTGCGGGGTCCAGAGCAGGACAGTACCCTCAGTGCCTCCGGCCGACCTGCTTTCTCGTCGCCTGCGCTGCCCACAACCAGCCACACACATCTGGGAAGCAGGCCACTGGCCAGCTGGACGTTGCCCCAAGACAGACCCCAGAGTCCTGAGCTGCCTGTCAGCCTACACTTCCGGGGGCCTGCGCCTCCCCCGACCTACCCGGATGTTGAGACTGGCCACAACCACCTCTCCTGTAGGCGTGATGATGGGGATGTTCTCGCAGACAATCCCCTGCTCCACATCCACCACTTGGCCTGGCGAGAGAAGGTGAGACTGAAGGGGACATCCCGGCCCCCTTGGCAGCGAGCCCGCGACTTAGGGAAGCCTCCCGGGCAAGGCAGGACGGGCGGGCAGTGAGGAGGAGAGGGCCGCCTCACCTCGGATCTGCAGAGGCCCCTCCACACGGACGCCAGACCTCACCGTGGTCCTGGGCCCCACCGGCACGTCCTCTGGGTCCCCGGGCCTCTTGAAATGGCAGCGCTGGACGTCGTCGAAAACCTGGAACATCTCATGCACGCGGGCTGTGTAGCCGGCCAGCTCCGTCACCTGCGGGGTCGGTGCCACTCAGCTGTGGAGGGGGGCGCGGCAGGGGCGGGGCGGGGGGTGAGGCAGCGGGTTACCTCCTTGTAGGAGGAGATGATGCGCTCAATGGCGTCAGCCGCGGCCGTGAGGAGGTTGCGGGCAATGGTGAAGGCCTCGGTGCGCTCGCCCACCAGCTCCTCCTCCTTCATCGCCAGGGCTGCCTTCCTCACGGCCTCGGAGTCTGCAGTGGGACATCAATGGTGACGTCACCCCCCGTGAGCAAATGGGGCTGAACCACCCACACGCACAGCAACCCCCCCCCACCTCGCAGCCCACTAGGGGCCGGCACAGACTTCGCATGTGCGGGGCCCGGGTTCGATCTCCAGCACCATCCTAGCATCACCAGGTGTGGCCTCCAAACCCCAGCCGCTCCCTCAATTTCAAAAACACACCCTCACTTCAAACGCAGCCCTGGGCATCTGCACGTAAGCAAAAATGACAAATCCGTTAGAAGAAATAAGGGATTCATCTTCGTGACCCTGGATTTTGCACAAGGTGGCTGAAAATGATAGCTGAACCCGTGCAGCTGGAGGGGCTTTATCAACATGAACAATATTTGCGCTCCAAATGCCGCAGTGAAGGAGTGAAATGATACCACACGGATGGGGGGGAAATCTGCCAAGCACGTGACCGACAAAGGAGGCACTGGAATCTGTAAAAAGCTTGCAGGGCCCGGGAAAGAGCACAGGAGTGGAGCACTTTGCCCTGGGTTCAATCCCTGCCATTTCAACTTTTTCTTTTTAAAATGACACTCGGGGCCCAGAGAGAGAGATAGTACGGTGGGTAAGGCACTTGCCTTGCACGTGGCCGACCTGAATTTGGTCCCCTGCCCCCCATATAGTCCCCTGAGCTTACCAGGAGTGATCCCTGAACACAGAGCCAGGAATAAACCCTGCGCATCACTGTATATGGCCCCAAAGCCCTCCCTCCCAAGAAAATGAGACTTGGGTTTTAGATCTAGCTCAGTGGACGAGCACTTGCCTTGCAGGTGTGAGGCCCTGGATTCCATCCCTGGCAGCATGAAAAAATAATTATCTCACAGTGATTCAATTAAAACACACGCACATATAAACACATTCTTAAAACATGAGGAGACACTCTTTCCTTCTTTGTTTTCTTCCCCTTCCATCCTTCCTTTCTACCTCCCTTCCATCTTTCCTCTCTCTTTTTCCCTCTTTCCTTCTCTTTTTGGGCCACACCTGGCAGTGCTCAGGGCTATTCCTGACTTGGAGCTCAGGGTTTATTCTTGGTAGTGCTCAGGGGACCACATTTGGCTGGGGATAGAACTCAGCCTTCCCGCATGCAAAGCATGTGCCACAGCCCACCGAGCCAGCGCTTTGCCCAGTTTTTCTCGATTCAACCAGAGACAACCCAATTGAACACTAGTCAAGGACCTCAACAGACATTCCCCTCCCCGCCAAATGCCATGCGGATGGCCAATCATCACAGGGCCAGACATCAATATCACAAACGATCAAGGACACACAAATCCGACCTAAACGAAACAGCACTTCTTACCCATGAGGCTGACTGTAGTCAAGGAAAGATATTAACAAGGCAGTAAGGAAACGAGGACTTGGAGCCCTCCCACGAGGGTGGAGGAGCGGGCAGGTGGAGAGAAGAGGTCAGCAGCCCTACAGTTACCCTCCGCTTCCCAGCCCATCCAGCCAGCCACTCCCACCTGGACACCCGAGAGAAACGGAAACGCCAAAGCTCAGAGCAACATCCCTCACAGCAGCCAAGGGTGGGAACGATCCCCGTGTCACCCACGGGCAAGTGGCTGAGGCCACGGAGGGCCGGGCTGACCAGATTGTTGCTCCCAGCCATAAAAGGAAGGAGCTGGAGAGTCATCCTGTGATCGAGGGGGACCTGGAGAGCACCATGCGGAATGAGAGAAGCCAGAGCCCAGAGCTGCAGTCTGTACTTCTGTTTACATGAGCTGTCCAGAGGCGAATCCAGAGACAAAGCAGGTTTGTGGGGGGCAAGGGATGGGGCTAAGACTCGGCAAACGGATCAAACCCACTAATGACCTCAAAAGGGTGGAAATCAGGGGGGCTACTAACAGCGGCTCAGGAATTCCGATAAGAAATCACTGCGAGGCCCTTGGCTCTCATTCTTGGCTCAACTGGAGGCTGCGTCCCCTCACTGCCCTCTCCCAGGGTCTGCTACACACGGTTCCTTCCAGTTGGCACAGCGGAGAGCCCCAGGGCTGACATCCGAGAGAGCTCAGGAGTTGTCACACAGCCCTCATGCCACACAGCAGCTCGCGAGCAGATACGGGCTAGAAGGAACGCAAGAGGAATTCCCAAAAGTGAGAGGAGAGGCTGCCAGGTGTCCGTGGGCCCCCCGGGAGGCCCGCTGCCCAGCTTCCCAGAGCTGCTGTACCCCAAGCCTCTCAGGCTCTCCTCCCTCATCTGCTGTAAACGTGTGGCCTTGGGCCTCCATGAGAACACAGCCCTGGCCTGACTGCTGTCTGCGGAGACCCCCCTCACTTGGTCAATGATCTCCTCGTCAAAGACCAACGGCCCCCTTTCCCTGCATCCTGGGAGTCCCCCCAGAGGAGCAGGGCTTTAATAGAAGAAAGGTTCTAGAAATGGCAACGGGGAACAAGGAGGCCAACTCTCAGGGACTGGGGTGAAGGTCATTATGCAGTGTCCACTGCGGTCCTCACAGGGTGGGAAGTTTCGGGAGAGAGTGCAAGGACTCTACCCCGGGGCCAAACGGAGCCCCAGATGTGGGCCCTAGGACTACGCTGGGGGAGGGACTCAGTGCGCAGGAGACAAATGGGTGGCCAGCGCACCTGTACTGCTTTGAGACCTGGCACAGGACCGTTCAAAATGTGCACTGGTGGGGGGTAGGCTTCACCCCTCAAGTGGATGGTGTGGGCCAACTTCTTGCCATGTCCCCAAAAGGCAGGAGTGATAGATGCCCTCCTGCTGGTGTGCTTGGGGGCCCGGGCATCATCTGCAGTGCTAACAGGCCACCTGTGCCAAGTGTTCGAGTCTGTCCCCACACGGCACCCCCAGCAGCCCCTCATCTGCCACTGGCCACTGGATGAGAGAGAGCAAAGCAGAGGCCAGACAAGAGCACAGGTCTTGGGCAGGCTGAAGGACCAGGGACCCCTGAAGGCCCCAGAGTCAAAGTCCCCCCAAGGCAGAGGAGACACCAGCATGACTCAGGCCCCGGGCAGAAGCACGCCTGGCACTTGGAGGCTATCCCAAGCTACGGCAGCCCACACCGAGGGACCCGAGGCTGGCAGTGTAGGGCCCTGGAGGAATTTAGGCTGGGGAAAAGCCAGGCTGTACTATTCCCAGGGCGACCGAAGGTGGCTTCTCCTCAGAGGTTCTCTGGCTTCGTCCTGCTGCAGGGGTGCCCATGGCAGCTCCGCCGTGGCAAAGCCCTTGCTCTAGTTAGATTCCCTCACCACGGGGGGCACAGCGGAGAGCCCCAGGGCTGACATCTGAGAGAGCTCAGGAGTTGTCACACAGCCCTCATGCCACACAGCAGCTCTCAGCAGATACTGGCTAGAAGGAACGCAAGAGGAATTCCCAAAAGTGAGAGGAGAGGCTGCCAGGTGTCCGTGGGCCCCCCGAGACTGGAGCGGGGAGCTTCGCACGCAGGGCTGGGCCCTGGGTCCTCTGAGGAGCAGGCTTCCTATGGGAATTTGTAATCCTGCGTCAGAGGCAGTGAAGAGGACGCCAAGCGCAGGAATCCACGTTGCCCAAGCTGAGAAGCCACAGGAGATGAACCGCAGAGCTGGGGAGACACTGCATCCCAGCACCTCACGCACCTCGGAGCACTGCCACGAGAGAGCCCGAGCAACACCGCCCGTGGCTCCCGCAGCAAGGGAAGAAGAGAAAATGCCTTCAACTAGTTCCTTGGCAGGAAGGCTGGGCACGGACCAACACGTGAGCCAGCATCTCAGGGGACCCCCAGAAGTCTGGGTGCAGGCTGGCAGATGAAAGATGAGGCTGCCCCCCAGTGTGGTCTCCAGGTACCCCAATCATGAGTGACAGACCATCGACAAAGGAGCAGTGAGTGACAGCAGAATGGGGACACGCCACCAGTTTGCCATTTCTACTGTCAGGGCAAATGTGTTTCCAAATGTCTGCTTGGGAGAGAGAGAGAGGACTCAGGGCAAGTACGTGAAAGCCAGAAGAGCCAAATCCGGTGAAGGTAGACGGAGAGCGAGCTGGCAGCGCCTGGGAGAGGCGCAGAGAGGGGCCGACCCAGGCACTGGCAGGGAGGAGAAGGAGCGCCAAGCAATACAGAAACCATGACAGGCCAAGGCCCCATCTCCAGCAGGGTCGGGAGGCCCGACAGGGAAGGCCGGAGATTGGGGTGCCTCCAGAAGCAGCCCACACCCAACAAATAGTACTTCATTACTTGGGGGTATAGGGGCAAAACAAAGACCTTTTCTTAGACGGCAAAATAATCGCGGCGTTCCCACGATGAAAATCAGAAAGAACTTTCTGGAAACTGTCTTTCTGGAAGGAGGTAACCGCGCTGCAGGGAAAGGGCTGTGAGCAAAGAAATTCGTCAACAGTGGATCAGATTTGAACACGTAACGACCCAAGGGGGCAACAGCCCAGTCTGAAGGCCAGGGGGAGCCTCATCCATAGAGCCGAGGGTGGGCGTCGGAGCTGCTGACTGACCCCTACCAGCTCTCGGGGTGCAGGCAACCAGATAAGGCTGTGCACGAAGTGAGTAAGAGGAGGAAGGAGACAGAAGCTGTCCCGATTGTGGCAGATGTGGTGTGACGGGCTTCCCAGCCCCATGCAGCGGCAGACAGCTGCCCTTATCTCTGGACAACAGACCAAACCCAGCACGGTTCTTTCCCCAGCCCCCTGCCTCCAGGCCGCAGTGGGACCTGTGGGGTTCCAGGACCTCGGTGGCCTGGGACCACAGCCAGCAGGCGCAGGCGAAGGGTGTAAGGCCGTGATGCTATCTGGGACTGCGTTCTGGTCCCAGGGTGGCCCGGAGCTACGGCTCTCACCTGACTCCGAGTAGCCAGTGGCGGTGATGATGGGGACGGCCACCATGAGCAGGCCCGAGGCGCTCCACACATACTTCATGAGGAACTGCTCCAGCATGACGTACCACAGGCGGCCCAGCAGGATGAGGTTGATCTGTGAAGCCAGGTCCTGGTAGGACTGTCGGAGCAAGGCCAGCTCAACCTGTGGGCGACAGGGGCAGGCTCACAGGGATGTGGGGGCTAAGGCACGACCAATGGGCACGGGCTGCCCACGTGAAGGTATCTGGGTGGCTGCCTCACAGACTTGGGGGTCAGCTGCGGTGAAGAGGGGACTCCCACCTTCCAAGCCCCCCACTTCTCTCTTGGCTCCGAGTTGGGACGCTCATCAGGCTGGATCCTGAACCAAGAAGAGGGTCCCTGGGGGGCAGAAGGCAGTGCCTCTCCTTGGCCAGGCCTGGATTGTCGCCCTGATCCCAGACAGCCCACGCCCTGAAGCCTCAGCCCAGCAACGGGCTGGGCTTCCCGAGTGCTCGCGTCACCAGGAAGTGGACAGTGAATGCCTACAAGGAGCACCCCTGTGGCAGTGGCAGACAGGTGGGACGTCGGGGTCCCTTTCCCAGCTGAGCCTCTGTGGATTTGTCCCCACGGCCTGCAGGGTGTGCGCGCTCGACGGCAGAGGCCCCAGGAGACCCGCGGCTAACTAAGACAGCACTCCTGCTTGGCCAGAACGGGGTGCGTGTGCGTGCCTGAATCCTTGTCCTAGCAAGAGCCGCACAGTCTGCGGTCTACACTCCTGTACCTCTAAGCCCGGGTCAGGGACTGTGGGGATGTCGGGGTGCTGCGTGAGTTACACAGCTAAGGTTCTGTCTACCTCTGCGGCCAGCAGCCCAGCACTCACCCCTGCCCTGGGACGGCAAAAGGCTGGGGCCCGTGCCGGCTGGGGCCCCACATCCTGACGACCACAATACCACACGGCGCAGGCAATCTCTCTTCTGCCCCCTCAACCCCAATGAAATTGGGCTTGGCCTCCTGCCCTATCTCCCGCACGCCTCTCAGAGCGCCCTGGCAATCCCGGCTCGTGCTGAGAGCTGGCAGGAATGCCGGCCAAGGCTGACAACCTAGCTCCAGGGACCGTGCCAAGCACCTCACCCAGGGCCACAGCTGTCTGCCCAAGCCCTGCAGGCCGCCCAGAGTGCGGGAGTGCCGGAGCAGAGGAGAGAGCAGGGCGCCCAGCTGGAGTTGTTCTCTTTTTAGGAATCCAAGGAGACCGTGTCAGAAGGCGGCCCGCAGCCCCAGGCCGGACACAGAGCCTTCAGGCGAAGGATGTGCCCCTCCCCCACCCCCGCCCCCCAGAAGAACTCGGAACCGAAACCGGAGTCGCAGAAAGCCAGGCCTTAGGCAGCTGCAACCCCAGGCACGAGGAAGGGGAGGGGCGAGGCGAGATAAAGGGAGCCCTGGCCTGCAGTAACCTCGGCCGGCCCACCAGGAGCTGCGCCCATGTGGGGGCCCCGGGCGGAAGGGCGGCCACGGGGAAGGGGGCAGGGTGGCTGCCAGGCCGGCAGGAAAAGTGCCCTGCCGAGGGGGCCCCAGCCAGGCATCCCGGCGGCCCCTGCCCCCTCACTGGCCTGAGGGCTGGAGTGGGGGAAGGCCTTGACCCCGGGTCCAGCTCCCCCACTGCTGCGGCCTCCACGCTGCTTGTTAACCTCGGCTTGGGCTGAGTCATGCCCATAATGCACGCCAGCCCAGCCAGCCAGCTGGGCGTCCAGCCGGCCTTCAAAGGGCCCAGGGGTGGGGGCTTCGGGGGCCCAGGAGCGGGCGACCCACCGACGGGCCCAGCTCCCACCCGGCAGGCGCTTCCTCCCAGCCGGTGGCAGCAGTGAGGGGAAGCTGGCGCTGTGCGCGCGCGGCTGGAACCGCTAGAATCTAGGCTGGCAGCCCCAGGCCAGCCCGGCTGCTTGCGGAGCAGGAGAGGAAGCAGAAGTGGCCTGGGGCGAGCAGGCAGCCGCCCGTCTGCACCCACCCAACGTCGAGCTTCTCTATTTCTCCGCCAGGGCCCCGTCTGGCCCCCAGCCTCCCTCCTCCGGCCCACCGCGAGCCCCTGGCCTCGGCTCCCTGCTGCCTCCCAGCCGCTGCCCCACCTCATGACCCCCATAGAAGGCGATCTCCTCCGAGTTGGCCACCACGCGCGAGTGCATGTAGCGCAGCTCCCCCTTCCTCCGTGCCTCCTCGGCCACCAGCTCCCCAAACTTGGGCGAGAAGGCTCGCAGCACGTTGGCGGTCAGGAACACCACGAGGCCAGCGATCGCCGACGGCCAGGCCGTTCCCGCCCCGCGGGAGCGGGCTGCCCGGACCAAGGTGTATGCGGTCACGGCTACGTCGAGCAGCGGCTTGGTCAGGTTGGAGTAGAGGTGCGCCACCGAGGCCGCGAAGGCCACCAAGTCCTCCGTCAGCGACTGGTCCGGGTTGCGCAGGCGCCCGTCCATGTTGCTGACTCGGTAGTAGGTCTGCTGGGCGAAGTAGAGGCTGTAGGCGTGGGCCACGAGGCGGCTGCGGAAAGCCAGGGCCAGCTGGCCCTCCAGGTAGCGAATGGCACTGTTGATGAAGGTGGCCGGCAGCGCGATGAGGAGCCACTGCATGAGCTGCCAGCCGAAGGCCCTCGGGTCCTTGCGCACGATGCTGCGCGCCAGCCGTCCATCCAGGCGGGCCACATACACCGACAGAAAAGTCCGGCTCACCAGGGTGGCCGAGTGCAGGGCCAGCAGCCCCGTCTCCCGGCACAGGAGCCGAGGGAAGAGCAGCCGCAGGAGCCACAGAAGGCGCCGCACAAACACCCGGTTCACCCCGGCTTTGGCCTCGGAGGCCAAGGCCGCAGGGGCCCTGGAGGTCCCCTGCGCGGATGCTCCTGCCCTTGGTGGCTCCTGTGGGCTCCTGGCCGGAGCCAGGCACTGGCGCAGCAGCGGGTAGATCTTGTGGACCCCATAGGCCGTTAGGGCCAGTACCACAGCGCTGCGCTTCAGCGTGCTCACCCGAGAGGCTCGAGGCGCCGAGAGCACCGCGGGCATGTCCCCTGCGGGTTGGACTTCACGCAGCAGCAGAGGCAGGTGGATGGAAGAGTCGATGGCTGGTGGTCTAGACAACTGGGAACTTCACTGTGGTTCCCGAGATGAGCGCTTCTGGCCACCGGGGCGGTCCTGGGGCCCCTGGGTGATGAGTTCAGGGTCCTCCAGCTTCGCAGCCTCTTCTGCCAGCTGAGGTGGAGGAAGTTGTCAGTCCCCCAGTCCTGGGGTCACAGCCTCCAGAGATCTCAGGCAGAGAGGGCTTCCCTTCCACTCCTCCTCCTCCTCCTCCTCCTCCTCCTCCTGCCCCGCTGGCGCCCCTCCCCGGGGTACCGGGAGCAGCGTCCGCTCTGCAGGCTGGCCGAAGCGACAGTGACTCCGCCACCCTCCCGGAATCCCCACCTACCCACCCCTCCCCAGGGGCGAGTCCGGGGAAGGGGAGGAGGCGGAGGAGGGGCGGGAGGCGGGGCCCGGAGGGGCGCCCCACCCCGTTCTCGCCCCACGACTGGGCCCCGCCTCTTCCCTGGACCACAGAGAGGAGGGATGACTCGGAGGGCTAGAGAGGCCTCCGCGCCAGGCTCCGCCCTGCCCCACCCATCCTCCCCCACATTCCCAGGCTTGCTCCCGAGTGTGAGGGGCGGGGCGGGAAGCGGCCCTGGGAGGAACCGCGGCGCAGGAGAGGGGGCGGAGCGTCCCGGCGCTTCCGGTTTCCGGCTGGGGGGAAGGGGCGGGGCCAGAGCTGTGGTGGGAGAGTTTGTCGGTGTTTGCCGGGCGTGTGCGGAGGCTGTGGGAAAGTCGGTGAGCGCTCCGGGCCGGGTCTGTCGACGAGGGGCCGCGACGGCCGCGGGGAACGACGAGGGCTGGGTCGGGATCCGGGCCTGGCCGGGGAGACTCGGGAGGGCGGCCGGGTGCGTGGCGCGGAGGCGGCCACGGAAGCCCTTTGCGGGTGCGCCGAGCCAGACCCGCAGCCGAGGCTTCGGGGGAGCCTTGGGAGCCCACAGGGACCGCGCCACCTCAGCGCGGGGCCCTTTCTTGCTGGACGAACGCCCCGGCGGACGGCGGCTCGGGCGCGCTTGTACTAGAACTTTCTATGAATGGGGAGGCGCCGGGTCCGGGCTCCCACCCTTAGGGGTCGTGTTTCGGGGGGCAGCGCGAGCTCTCGAAGTGAGCTGCTGGCGAAGCGGCTCAGCCCCGGTTGGGGCGAAAGTGCGTCCCTTGGCCAGTGCCGGCCTCCGGCCCGAGCCACTTCCTTGACCCCGCCAGGGCCCGCGCCCGCGAGGAAGGGCTCGAGGGGTCGGCCGAAGTGGGGTCTTTGTACCGGGGCTGAGGGGTGGGACGCGGCCGGGCCCTGCTGGCTCCCTAACTCCTGCCCCTGTGTGGCCCGCAGGAGACTCGGGGACAGGATGAGTCTGCAGTGGACCGCCGTGGCCACCTTCCTCTACGCAGAGGTTTTTGTGGTGCTGCTTCTATGCATCCCCTTCATTTCGCCCAAAAGGTACGGCCCCTGGCACGGGTGTGCAGGTGGTGGGACACGGGGCCAGCTGCGAACAGGTCAAACCTGTCTGGGCTGGGGGTGGCAGGGGTGCCGGCGGGGATGGCTGCCAGCCTTCCACACAGCCCTGCTTCACATCGGCTCCCCCGCCTCCCCTTGGGGCCCTGGTGGGCAGGGGGTGGCACCACAGGCTCCTGTTGCCGGCCTGGTGACTTCTGTCCTCCTAAGCCTTCTCTCCAGCATTGCGTAGTTGCCTCCTGAGCGTTACTCACTCTGTGGCGGATGAGGCCAGAGGCCCACTGAACAGACAGGAGCTGTTAACAGTGAAGAGAAAATGAATTTTTAATGCTACATCGGCCTGGGAACACTGATTTCAATTAGGATCTTTCAGATAAGGCGGCCTCTGCAGATACCCGAAAAAGGTTTATTGAGAAATGCAGCCCCTGGTGTGGCCCCCTGGGAAACCCCTGCTGCCTCCAGGGGAGTCCTCATGCCAGGATGCCCCAACCTGGGGCCATCCACGCCTGGTACAGTCCGGAGGCTGTGCGCAGCACCGGTAGCTCTGTTGGACCTGAAATTTGGGGGGCTTTGTAGACCAGCCTGGTTTCTACCAAAAGTAAAAGGGGAAGAGAAAAACCAAAGGATAAGGGAGAATAGCAGAATAAGAGAGTTAAGTTACTTAACACTAAAGTAAAGTAAAGTAAAGGTCCTCCCGTTGATCATCGATTTGCTCGAGCGGGCCCAGTAACGTCTCCATTGGAGACTTTGTTGTTACTGTGTTTGGCATATCCAATACGTCATGGGGAGCTTGCCAGGCTCTGCCGTGCGAGCGATATACTCTCGGTAGCTTTCCGGGCTCTCCGAGAGGGGCGGAGGAATCGAACTCGGGTTGGCCATGTTGGCTGCGTGCAAGGCAAACGCCCTACCGCTCCAGCCCACTTAACACTAAATGCAGATTCAAAGCTTACTCAGGCCACCTTGACACTAACCAACTAGTAAAAAAAATGCTCGCAGTGGACTTTGGGACTCGACTCTGATAATCAGGGATTCTCGTTGATATTCTTGAGGTCTGGCGATGGTGTTGTGATTGCATCAACCACTTCTGCAGACTTCTTTCTGCTAGCTGAATAGGGCCACAAAAACAGTGGAGGAAATGAAGAGAGGCTTGGATCTGTGTCATAAATACCCAGGGTGCTGAATGCTTCCATGAACCCAGATCGGTCACATGAACAGTTTAAACAACACGTGTGGGGCAGAGCATTTTGAAATCTATCTAGGGGGATGAGAGAAGCAGATTTTCCTTCTGAGACTCCCACTCGATAAGAATGGTTGTCTACAAATTTCTGTACTTGAACATGAACATGCATTTTTTTTTCTAAATTGCTCCCAAACAGATGTCAGGTTGGAGATTTGTAAGCAGCTGAAGCCGAGTGTTCTGTGGGCTCTTCAGCTGTCGGGAGAAGAGTGCATAACTGGATCAGAGGACCTTTCTCCTGAGGGTTCTTTCCCTCAGCCTCTATCTGTTTTGTCTTCCTCTGGCAGGTGGCAGAAAGTCTTCAAATCCCGCCTTGTTTTGCTGGTTGTGACCTACGGCAATACCTTCTTTGTGGTTCTCATTGTTATCCTTGTCCTGCTGTTTATCGGTGAGTGCCCCGTGGCTGAGAGTCTCGCCCTTTGCTCTGTCTCCGCTGCAAAGCACAGAGCCATGGTCTCTCAGGAGTCCCTGTCTGTCTTGAGGAGGAGACACTCTTCATCCAAAAGAGGCGGGGTGCTGACTCACCTGGCGGGGCATTCCAGTTGCCTAGCAGCTTTGGGAGGGCCCGCTCATGTTTTGGGGCATCTTCTCAGGTTGTGCCAGGACTGAGAGAAAGGGAAACAGGAGTATACAGACCTAGGGCTCAGGCACTGTTTCCCTCGGGTCCTTGGGCAGCATCGCTCTGCTCTGTAATTGCCCGAAACAGGCCTAGAACCAGTCAGAAGCCTCCTTGGGCTGGAAACTACAGTGTCCTGTCATATTTGGGGACCATGAGGTCTCTGGAAGTATGTTTTGGGGGGGTTACACTCCAAACCTCCAAACCTCTCCTTCCAGCTCTGAAATTGTAGAAACCTCACATTGAGGTGCACAGCTGCAGGGGCTTGAAAGACAAACAGATCCAAGACACTCTTGGGAGTGGACCAGGGGCCAGAGTGCTCTGTCTGGAGGTAAATGTTCTGTGACTTGCCAGCCAGTGTGATTGGAGAGCAGAGGAATCACTCAAGCTTGAGTGTGATGGCGGAAGGTCCTTTTTAGCTATGCTAAGTGGATTCCTTGTGCCCTGCTTGGGCAGCAGTATTGGTTTGACTTGGCTGCAGGTCTTGACCGCATCTCTCAGCAAGATGTCTTTCTCCCTGAGTCCTTAGCAGAAACTCTCCCAGCATGCTGCTGAGACTCCGGGACCTGCACAGCCCTGCCTGCTAGCTGCAGCGTTAGACATTTCTCCTTCCCGATGCCTCAGGGCCAGAAGGGATCTGTTCAGGCAGCACTTTCTCCAAACAGGCCAGATTTGGTCTATCCCTTACCAGCCACGCCAGTGAGTGTCAGCTTCCAACAGACATCACCTTTCTTAAAATACTTGGCAAAGCCCAAGAGCCAAACATTGTCAATAGGGCTCTCTCCTGAGTGGCCTTTGAGCCTAGAATGGGTAGGGAGCAAAGCGTGTTCACCCCTCAGCTTGAAAAGCGGGCTACGGAGATTTGGAAATGAACATGTGAGATTTTGCTTTTGGGCATGGGGTGGGGGCAGGAAGAGGGTTGTTCCACTCGGGTGGGCTAGGGATGCTCTTTGCAGAACCCAGTAGTTGGCCATGGTGCTGTTCTTTTGGGGTCCGGGAACTGTTTGGAAATGGAGAGACACTCCAGCTATGATGACCACGTCTATGTTCCTGGTAAGAAGCACAACCTAAGTTATAATAAAACACAAAACCAGGGCCAGAGAGACGGCTGAGGCACTTTGCCTTGCTTGTGGCCATGTGGTCCCCCAGTGATGGCTAGGGGTCACTCCTGGGCCGGGAATAGACCCTGGGCACCACCCGATATGCCCTTGGCCCCCGCGATATAAAGAGAATGACAAAAACTGAAATATGCGTCTCATCACAACAAGTAGAGTTTAATAATTCTTTCAGTGCTGAGCACAAGATTTGTTATAGATTCATTTCATTTTTATTTATTCTTTGTTTTGTTTTTTGGGCTGCACCCTGTGATGCTCGGGGTTATTGCTGGCTCTGTGCTCAGAAATCACTTCTGGCAGTCCTCAGGGAAGCTATATGGGATGTCGGGGATCGAACCCAGGTGTGCCACTTGCAAGGCAAGCGTCTTATTGTACTGTCACTCTGGTCTGATCCCTTCATGTAAGTTTTTAATGATTTTTTGGAGAAGAGAGAAAAGATAACCACAAGACAGTCGCAGAGCCTTCAGCGAATACAAGTGGGCCTGTAGCCAGTATTAGTGAGTGGTGTGGGGGAACCCGTGTACTCAAGGCAGCCTGTGCAACTTCCGCCTCCGCTCAGCAGGGCAGGGCACTGGAGAGGCCAGTACGCGCCTGTGACCTACCTGGACTCCATTATCAGTTTCCCAGCCTGCTTCTCAGTGCCCCTTCCCAGTCTGCTTTTGGCTGTGGAGAGAGCTGGTTCTGGGAGGTGGGGTTTCTGGATGCAGGTCACTTAGAAACATGGGTGTCTTTATTTGGTTCGATTTTATTGGGGGACATGGTTTGGTCCACACTCAGCAGTGCTCAGGGCCTATTGCTTTGGCTATTGCAGGGGTGACCCCAGCTGTGCTCAGGACCATGAAGGGTCAGGAATCAAACCTGAATAGATTACATCTAATGTAGACTCCTTAGCCCCTGTTCTATCTCTGCCTGACCCCGAAATGTCTTTAGTCCCCCAAATAATACATCATTATTTCTTTATTTAGAAATTCTGTCTGGAAAGTGAAAGTCTCCCAAAATTCACACCTCCCAGATAACTGCCCTTAATACTTGATAATGTCTGGTGGGAACATTAAAATTTCTCTACTATTTTCTACTGTTTTCCCTTTTTTTGTTGTTTTATGGGCCACAAACAGTAGCATTCAGGAGTTCCCCTGCTGCCTCCCACCTCCCTTGTGTTTGGGAGTCACTCCTGGTGTTGCTCACGGGACCCTGCAGTGCCAGGGATTGAACCTGGGCCTCTCAAATTCAAAGCATGCAGTCACTCAGCCAATTAAGCTAACTCTCTTGCCCACTGCCTGCTGTTTGGAATTGAATTTGGTTCACTTTGCATGCTGGTTTGGATTGTTCTTTTTCTATCTATAGTATTTTTTTTTTTTTGCTTTTTGGGTCACACCCGGCGATGCACAGGGGTTACTCCTGGTTCTACACTCAGGAGTTACTCCTGGCGGTGCTCACGGGACCATATGGGATGCTGGGAATCGAACCCGGGTTGGCCGCATGCAAAGCAAACACCCTACCCGCTGTGCTGTCTCTCCAGCTCCCTTTTATAGAATTCTTCTCTTTTTTTCTGTTTTTGATTTTTGGACGGTTTTTGGACCACACCCAGCAGTGCTTATTTACTCCTGACTCTGTTTTCAGGGCTCTCTCCTGGTGGACTCTGGGTACCCTATGAGGTGCTCTGGATCGAACCCTGCTGCATGCAGTACAAGCACCCTTCTCCCCACTGTGTCCAGCATTCTCATTCTTTGTGAAGGTTGTGCAGTTGCCTGTTATGATTATAGTGTCATCTTAATTCCTTTTGGATAGGCTCCCTTGGATTGGCTCACACTCGGGTGATTACTACAGGACTGTATCCATAGTGGTACTATTGGTGAACAAGGTTCTAAGAGTTTTCAGAGTGTTTTGTTTTTCTGCCTTTGTCTTGAGGTCACACCCAGCAGTGCTCAGGGGTTACTCCTGGCAGGGCTCGGGGGACCGTATGGAATGCCAGGGATAAAACCCAGACAGCCACATGCAAGGCAACCTCCCTACCTACCCCTGTACTATTTCTCCAGCCCGCAAGAGTTTTCCATTTTCTGTATCTTAGTTTGACTCCTGAAACCGGAGTCCCATGATGGGGAGTTTTCTGTAAGACGGTTGTATTCTGTCGATTGTGAAGGTGGGAGAGTCTGGGCTCGGGGTGCCAGCAGGAGCAGTGTCGGGGAGGTGGGCCTGTGGGCTGGTTCATAGACGTCTCTGCTCACTGTGTCCTCAGTTGAGGAGTGGGTGCGGGAGCTCCCTGGGCTTTCTACTCAGAGCACTGATTTTACAAAGCCTCCACCCTCTTGACCTAGCCAGCCCCAAAAGCCCCCCGCCTATGGTTGTCAGCAATGGGGTTTGGGGGGATAGAACTGGGCAGCCTGAAACAAGTCAGGCTATGACCTGTAACTTCGTTGGCCTGTACTCTCCCTGGGATGCAGATGTAACCCCAAGACCAGTGTAAATGCCAGGGGTGTGAGCCGAGAGATGAGAAGCAGACGAGGCTCCCTGGCTGCTCTGGGGCGGGGAGAGTGAGCCTTTTCCACGGAGCTCTTCATGACCTGCCTGGCACAGCCCCCTGGGGTGGGGGGCCGGGGATGCAACTGTAGACGTGGGCTGGTTCGTGCTCTGAGTTAGCGATGAGCATGTGGTGGCCTCTCGGGAACAGGGGCTCCCTTCTCAGCGGTCATGGTGTGTCCCTCAGCACCCAGAACTGGCCCGGGCCCTGGAAATACTGTGAAACAGGTTCCTGTTCTGAGTTAGGGGTCTCGTGTGGGGGAGATGGACAGTCGATAAGGTGAAGGTGACAAGGGACCAGAGTGCCCACATGCGCAGTCACTGTCAGGGGAGAGTGATTCCGCCATTGTGAGACTCTTGCCACAGTTCTGGCACAACCTTCTTTTGTAATTGGGATCAAGCTGGCACCAGAGCTTGGGCTGGGGACTTTGGGAGCTTCACAAGTCATCCCCTGGGTCTTGACTGCTGGGCACTTGTGCCCCTTTGCCATGCACAGGAATTTCCTGGGCTGTCAGTGGGGTCCACGTATGGGGAGTAAAACATGGGGCTCGGGGGTTGTGGGGGGAGGGGACTGGCCCTCTAGCAACGCCTAGCCACAGTCAGCCTCACGCCCTGGAGAGCCACGTAGTTGGGGAGAGCTACTGTCCCCTCCCTTGGCAGCCTGAGTTGGACCAGGCGGGAGCTCAGCTTCCGCGTCTTTTTGTCGCAGATGCCATTCGTGAGATTCGCAAGTATGACGATGTGACCGAGAAGGTGAACCTCCAGAACAACCCTGGGGCCATGGAGCACTTCCACATGAAGCTTTTCCGTGCCCAGAGGAATCTCTACATTGCTGGCTTTTCCCTGCTGCTGTCGTTGTGAGTGAGGGCTGAGGGCTGGGGAGGGACCCCCAGGCTAACTTAGAGCTTTGACGCCTCAGTCTGTGGCCTTGAGCTGACTGCCCTGTTGGAGATCAGGCGGCTACAGTAGCCCCCAAGGCCTCAGCTGTTAGCTGACCCCCAGAGGCACTGTGACAGCCAAGAGAGGACCCGTATTCTCCCTCTGTTCTGCATGCTATGTCCGTTCTTGGGATGAGAAACTGGGTGTTTGTGTTGTCTTTGAAAAAGAAACAGTACAGAGGACTGAGACCTACTCCCCCCAGGGCCTCCTAGAAAGTGCTGGCGGGAGTGTCTATGTGAAGTGTCCTGCACTGAGCATCCAGTGCCCAGTTGTTCGAGAAAGGCCAGATACCTTCGTCCCTGGGGCCAGAAGTGGCTGGGTGGGCGCTGCTACAAGGCCCTGCTCGCCGCTGCCTCCTGCTCGCAGGGCTTCCGGTTCCTGAATGTACCAGGGCAGACGGGTGGGGGGCCTTGTCGTAGGGCACTCAAAAACTGGGGAAGACTGTGGCCTCCCAGCTGCCCTCAGCCTCTGGTCACTTGAAGAATTTGCACTAGACATGCAAGTGACTTTGCATCTAGGTTTCAGGTGTTCAGAAAACCCACCCGGGCGTTTGGGGAACATGGGGACTGTGCCACAACTGCGGAGTGGCAGGTGGCGCTTTGGGGTGGTACATGGGGTCACGGGGCCTCTGTAGACAACGTTGACTTCAAACTTCCGGCAGTCAGGCCAGGACAAGGCAGGGGAATTGGTCTTGTGTTCTGAGTTCTGGGCGCTCAGAGCACTCGACAAATGAAGGCTGAGCTGGGGGCATGATGGCTGGAATGGGCAGCGGATCTGGAGCCTTGGGCCGCCAAAGCAGGATCTGGGTTTCACTGGCGGCCTCAGCCAGCTCCGAAGGCCCGAAGCAGCTTCTGAAAGGTCTGTCCTGGGTTCTAGGAAGTGGGAAACAGCAAGGCTGCGAGAAGAGCGGGCCTTGCGAGGAGGCCAGGCTTGTGCACATCCACGGAAGGAGCCGCGAGTCCGGCCTCCATGCGCCCTCCGCAGATCGGTTCATTTCTATCCTCTTCAGGCATAGAAACTCGCTGGGGTAGAGGTCGGCTCCTGCTCCTGCCTGGTGATGGTGGCCAGGAAGGACTTCTCCTTTGCCGTAGGGCAGCGTGAGAGCACGGTACCCACCCAAACCATGTGGGCTTGCGGGAAACACCATCACAGCGCTTAGTTTGGTGGTGCCATTGAAAGGAGTTAAGAGTTGGTCACTGTGAAGGCGGTCAAGCCCACAGTGCAGGTAACAAAGGAGGGTGAGTGAGCGACCCGGACCCTTTTCCGGGCTCAGATGTAGGTAACAGTTGCATCACCTCACAACTTTGTCTGTGCCACGCACGATGTTAGGTTTTTCCTTTGTTTTCCTAATTTCTGCTCTGCTTTGACTTGCTTTGTGTACCCACTAGTACATCTTAGCGATATTCCCAGGGGACTCACCCAGATCTGCAGTTCCTCTTAATGGTCCCCTAGTGTTCAGCTCACGGGGTGTGGGCTGGTTCAGTTCTGACCTTTCTAGGCAAAGCCCCCGGCCACCCTGCTGTGCGCCATGTTCCTTTTGTTCTCTCGCCCTGTTGGGGCTGGAAATGGGTCGTGGTGTCCTGGTCTCCTGGCGCTGCTGCAGCCAGACGCTGGGCAGGGAGGTCCCAGCCAAGCTCCTGCACACTAGTAGGGGGACCCAGGCACCGATCCCTTGCCCTCCCCCTGCACCCCGCTGTCTTCAGGTGCACCCTGTCGACTCTGTAGTTGAAGCGTTTCTCTGCAGAATGCACTGTCCTCTTGGTGTTTCCCACCCCTACGCAGTGAGCCAGTCCCTAGACTCCAGTTCCCGTCTAGATCCCCAGGAGCTCTTGTCCAGGTGCTCTGCAGATAAGCCGCTGACTCGGCCTGCTGTGTGCCAGCATGCGTGCAAAACCAAGAAAGCCATTAGCCCTTCGCTGGGTTGAGTGTCGCTACATATGAGAATGGTTTTGTGAGGCTCCCAGTCACTGAGCTTAGCTCCACGAACATGAGCAGGCTGTTGCTCCAGAGAGGATAAGAAGATAGGGCTGGAGAACACAGTACGGCGTTGAGTTCCTCAGCTCAAATCCCAGGCACCGTCTCATTCCCAGAGCACTGCTGGCCCTGGCTCTGTGCTCAGGAGAACCCCTGATGGTGCTCTGGGGATTAGAAGTGGTTCCTGGGATGCGAGCCAGGGTCGCTCCTGCTCCCGCCAGGTGGCAGTGACAGTGCTTCGTGGGAGCCTGGAGAACACAGTACCCACCTGAGTCTCGCAGGCTTGCGGGAAACACCGTGATGGCGCTTAGTTTGCTGGTGCTTTTGACAGGAGTTCAAGCTGCTCGCTGTGAAGTCAGCCACACCCACAGTGTAGGTAACAAAGGAAGGCGAGTATCCGAGCCCAGCTACAGGTACCAGTTGGGTCTTTTCACAGTTATTTCTGTGCGTGAGGTTGGGTTTTTTGTTTGTTTCCTTTTAGAAAGTTCTGCTCTGCTTTGACTTGCCTTTTGTACGTACTAGTACATTGTAGCAATTTTTCCAAATGACTCACCCACATCTCTCTGGTTCTTTCTGAGTGTGGATTTCCCCACCCCAGGGTTCTTTTTCTAAAGAAGGTAGAGTGTTTGGGGAGAGACCAGCAGCTAGCCTGACCTCACCATACTCCCTCGGGGCTAGAGCGAGGGGTGCCCGGGGTGCCCAGAGTGTCGTGGGATGTTGTCTGGTTTAGGTAGGTGTGGAGCAGAGGCGTGACTTTGGGAAAGCAGCCAACACTTCCAGCTTACAAGAAGGGCACAGCTGGAGGGCTGGGTGGCCCCCGCTCTGGCCATTGTGTGCCTTTCCTGTGATTTGAGTGGTGGTGAGAGCTCGGGACTCCCTGTGTCAACGGGGAGCAGCCCTAGAGTTAGGGGCCTAGTGGGCCCAGGTCTGGGGCATCTCGATTCAAGCTGTGGTGTCGGTGTGGACTGTGGGTGCTGAAGGCTGCTCGCCTGCGCCTCAGGAGCCCACAGAGCACCTTGACGTCTTTTCTGACTGGTTGTTACCAGGCTCTTGGCGGGAAGTCGAGGGGGACCTACCCGGGAGCTCAGCTCGGCACCCCCATTGCTTTTGTGCTTTGTCCTCGGCACTCTCGGCTGCACCCCACCTCGCTCACTTCAAGTTCCTGCTAGTGGCTGAGGAGTCGGTCTGAAGTCACCTGGAGGAAGACAAGGCTTTGACTAAACAGAAGCAGATTCTCTGAGATGCCGTCAACCACAGGGACATGCACTTGGGCCGTCTACCTTCGCAGACTTGACCACACCCACCGGCATCTCCCGCTTCTGTTCTGCGTGCCAGGCACATTTTCATGTTGGTTCCGGGGCTGAGGCTTCAGCTCTGCTCTTTCTCCAGAGATGTCCCACGCCGCTGCAGTGCAGGCCACCTCCAGCCACAGCGTGGGAGCTTGTGATTTTGCCTGACTGTCATGGGCTAAGTGGGCCGTCTCTGGCATTCTCCGGGCTAGCCGCTGAATTCTCTGTCAGTGACCACGGAGCCGTGGTTTGGTGAGCCGTGGGGAAACCCATTCCGTGCCTCTGCCCGTTGCTTCCGTTGCTCCAGGTTCTTTGGGCCCCAGATGTGTCTGAAGTGTCCCATCTCCCTCTGTCTTCACGCTGCGTGTGTATCAGGGATGGGTTCTGGCCCCTGAAGGACCCAACTAAATTCAGGTCAGGTGGCCTGAGCAGTGGGAAGGAAATAGGATAGGCAAACTCAGAGTTTGTCCCTGAGCGCCGCGTGGTAGAGTGCTGGGTGAGTACTTGTAGCAGCTCCGCGCACGTTTTAAGTTGCGGTGAGTGTTGGGCAACGGTGTGTGCTTGGGAGTTGGGGAGCAGAGCGGAAGGCGTGAAAGCAGAGACCAAGCAAGATGAAGTCACGGGAGTGAAATGCTGCTGGCAGCCAGCCCCAGGCTACAGTAGCAAGGGTTGGGTACAGTCTGGAGAAGGGCCGGGGTGCAGGGCGCAGGCCCCACTGGCCAGGGGGAGGGGAGGGGAGGCAGGAGCTAGTTGGGAGCTGATGTCTGAGGTGGCAGCGCTGCTGTGGTCACCTGCCGCAGGGACTGTGGTGGGCCTGTTCTCCAGAGGCGCCTGAGCTCAGCGTGCCTTTGCCTGCCCCGTTTCTCCCCCTTTCTGGGCTGTGCCCTTTGTTCTGGTCCCTCCCAATCTCCCTCCCATTGGCAAGACAGGGAGGTGCCTCCCAGGAGTTCATGCATTGTGGTTAGGAGGCCCAGGTTGGGGTCCGCGGAGCAGTAACTCTAGTGTGGGGGTGGCCTCACCAGGAAGCGCAGCGCCAGTCTGATTGCCCTGTCTGTGAGGGTCCAGGTGAGCTGTGTTCCATCCGCTCTTGACGTCTGCTGCGCTGCACTTCTGCCTCTATCCGCCTCCTGAGCTGCCTATCCCCTCGTTCTAGAAATGCCACCCCCCACTCGGTGCTGTCATCTCCACTAGACTTCCTGCTCCCAGCCACGCTCCCCAGCCTGTGCCACCCTGTCCCATGATCTGGTGCACCCATCCCTTCCTGCTTTCACGGTGGTGACTGAGCCTTCTGGGTCCCCTTCCACAGCCGGTCGGAGACTCTCCTTAGAAGCCCCCACTCACGGCCCTTGCTGCCCTCTGAGTGCCCTGTCAGCTTGCGAGGTATGGTGCAGGAACCTGGGCTCGTGCCCAGTAGGCCAGTGGGCTCTGCCAAGGACTGGCCTAAGGGGACAGACAGCTTGAGGCCCAGGTCCAGGCTGAACTGGTGGCACTGCCACTCGAGCTGTCCCGAGTTACAGCAGCAAGAAGCCGATCCAGGTGCTTCTGACGCTGGAGTCCCTGGGGGCACCTCTGTTGGGAGGACAGGCAGGGGCAGACTGTGAGGTCTGTGGCTTCCTCTTCCGTTTCCTGGGCGCCCTCCTCATCCCCCTCTGGAGTGACCTGAAGCGCACCCTTGCGGCTGACTTGCCGATTGAGTTGCACACCTTGTTTCCTCAGCCCTCCCTAAAACGCCACTCATTCGAGGCCACCACTGAAGGGCTGGCCACCCACCCGAGTCCCTGGATTCCGGAAGGCCTGAACTCGGGTTGTAGCGATTGCTGGGTTTCTGCCGCCCCCACTTGGCCATCCGGCATGGCCGCAGACAGGCCTCCCCTCCGCGCCACCTGGGGAAAGGCCAGCGGCGACGCGACTCCTGGCCACCTCTGCTTATTGCCTCTGGCTCTGCTCATAGTTGGCGCCATGGGGCTTCTGGGGCTTGCGCTTGACGGGGAGACGTGCCCGGGTGTGCATCGTGTGCCAGGGTCCAGCCTGGCCTTGGGCCCCAGGCCTGTTACACCTTCAGACTCTCAACACGGAGCACAGTGATGGCACAGCTCTCATGGGCTGCACGTGGGAGGAGATTTACTTCAAGTCGCACCAGTGTGCCTGGTACATGAGAGTATGAGAGTGGGTAATGAGCCGCAGCTGTTGGCATCGTCCTGCGTAACGACAGAGGTGGGGGCATTTTCCTACCCCGGTGCTAGTCTCTGCTGGTCCTGCAGCTGCCCTCAGGGGGTTCACGTCTGGGCTGTGTGCTGGGTAGGGTGCAGAGCAGAGAGAGACAGGAGACCCGGTTGGGACGGAGAGTCACAAGGGTCTGGCGGAGACCTAGTGGGGTGTGCAGGAGCTTCTGGCTCAGTCGAAAATGCAAGCGTAGGGGCTAGAGAGCTATTACAGTGGGTAAGGTGCTTGCCGGGTACACACCTGACTGGGCTTAGTCCCTCGAGCATCGCCAGGGGCAACAAAAGTGCAAACAGAAGGAAGAGAGCCAAATGTCCCCAACATCAAGTGTCTCCCGCACCTGCAGCTCTCTTCTGGCTGTGCATGATTTGGCAGCAAATCACGGCTCGCCATGTTTATGGGTAAAATAAAATAAGGGCACAAGACACACATGTTACACACACATAGCAGTGCTGGGGATCCAGCCCAGGGCCTCAGGTCAGGCAAGTGCACCGCCACTGAGCCCCTGGAGGAGACTTCCCTGGAAGGCCTCACGCGTACCCTGTGTGCGTTACCTCCAAGACCCTGCCTGCCCTTCCTGAATGCCGTCTGGCTGTCAGGCGCCACTCCTGGTTCCTTGCAGCTTGCTGGGTCAGTTGGGCTTCAGTCCGTGACCGTGTGAAGGTGATCTTGCATCAGGACCACAGTTGGGGCCCTAGTCATTGGATCCGTCCGCAGCTGCCACATCTTCCTAAGCATGGATCAGGACAGTGCAGCCAGGGGCTCTATTCCCCAGCTGGTAGGAGAGTCCCTCAGTGGCTAGGTGGTTTTGTTTGTTTGGGTGCCACACCCAGTGATGCTCAGAGATTAGTCCTGGCAGTGCTGGAGGACCATGTGGGATGCCAGGGATAGGACCCCAGTTGGCCCCGTGCAAAGCCAGTGCTGTATCTGCTGTACTCGCCTTCTGTTTCCACGAATGGCTAGTTAGAAGTCATTGTGAGGCCTGAGAGTGTGTGGGGCAGGTTGCTTGCCTTGCACCCCGGTTTGAATCCCTGGCACCACATATGGTCCCCCTGAGCACCACAAGGGCTCATTCCAGAGCAGAGTCACGAGTATGTCTCTAAGCACTGTTGGGTGTGGCCCAACCTCCCCTCCCCCGCCCGTCCCCAAAAGAAGTCGTCTGGATACCACGACAGAAACCCAGCTCATGGCTGGCCCCAAGCACAGGCAACCCTTGGTCTCTGCACTTGGCCGGAGACGTGCAGGCCAAGTGGCCCAGGACTGCCCATCACTGTGTCTGATTAAGGCATCGCTCTCGTCTTTGCCTGCCTCGTTGTTTTCTGAGCACTGGACTCTTGGGGATGAGCTCTCGGGGCGTCCGTGTTGCTCCTGTTGTGTTTTGCCTGGCTCCCGGCCCCTCGGTGCTCCATTTCTCTTGGCCAGTTGCCCCTGAGGCAGCCCGCCTGGAAAGCCAACAGGTGGCGCTGTGGCACCAGCTTCTCACTTGTCCGGCACAAGTGAAGAAGGGCAGCTGCCTGTCCGGGGTGGTGTCCCGAGTTACCCAGCTCACCTGGGGGCTCCTCAGGATCCGGCCCCCCTTCCCGCTTGCTTCTGCGCATCGACCTCGTCACCCGCAGGAAGAGACAGAGTTGGTGTGGAGCGTGTGCCCGTCCACGTCTTCTCCTGTGACTGGCCTGTTGCTCGTGTCCACACACAGATTCTGTTTCCTGCCTTCTCTTGTTTGCTCAACCTTTGCGAGAGCGAGTGAGCCAAGTTGAATTCAGGGGCTGTCGTCTGCCAAGGACGCGTGCGCGCACCCTGAAGGTGGCTGCCTTTCCGTCGCACCCACACGGTCGGTCAGCCCTGGGTCTTCAGGAACCCCGCCGACGCCCGGCTTCTCCCCTGCGAGAGAAGACCGGCAGCTCTTGCAGTGCCCCGGCAACTCAGCCCTTTACGTGGCCTGCCCTCGGAGGTCAGGCCCCACGATGCCTCGGCTGGTGAATGCCCTCAGCAGAAGGGTCCCCTGCGGTGTTGGGTCTGGTTAGGGACATGGAGGGCAGGGGGTGCAAGGGTGAGCAGCAGTGAGGCCACGGGGATGAGGGGCGCTGTGGGGCCCCCTGTAGACTTGGCCAGGGCACCAGGCTCTGCCCGGCCTTGGTGACGTGTGTTTTCCTGTGTGCCTTGGCTACCACCACAGTCACGAGCCTGGCTGGCTCATCAGCATGGGTTTGACGTCGTGCTGTCCCCCTCACCTCACCAAGGGGCGCGGCCTGTGCGGTGCAGCGAGGGGGGTGCGGGGGTGGGGCAGTGATGCGGCGGGCTCACCCAGGCATGGGAGGAGCCAGCTGTGGCCACCTGGGGGGCGTGTGGCAAGCCAGGAGTCTGTCCGGAACGGCAAGTTCCTAGTGTGACCAGAGCAGTGCCACGTGTCAGTGAGGGGAAAAGGACCTCGGAGGGACCAAAGTGGGGGGAGGTGGTCAGCGAGGCTTCGAGAAAGGTCACAATCTGGGAAGAGCTGGCCGCCCGGTTCCCATGGAGGGGGCTGGAGAGCCAAGCGCTCGGCCTGAGGACCCCATGGCATTCCATGCAGTGGGCGCTCAGGGCCTTGGCCACCACTGAGAGGGAGGGAGGTGGAGAGTGGGGCGGAATAAGGCGCGTTTACATGAACAGGCCTAGTGAGACCGGAGGGGACGTGGTTGGGGCGGGCTGGGCCCCTCTGGGTGGAGGGTGTGACCCTGAGCAGGTATGACTGGCCGAGAGCCCTTGGTTGCCAGAAACCTCCCCAGACAGGGAAGCGGTTTGCTGCTCCCTAGCTGGGAAGGGTGCTGAGGCTGCGTTCGCTGCCACTATCCCCTTCCCGGGTCACTTGGTGCTGCTGGAGTCCCGCCGGTGGCAGCCGCCTGCCTACTGGGGGCGGTCCCCCGCGAGCTGGCCAGCTAGGGCCACCAGGTGGCACCCATGCCCCCCCACCCCGTTTCCAGCTGGGAGGAGCAGTGCTCCTAGGGGTCCTCGGAGCCGCCTTGCCCTACGCCACGCCACGCTCTGGGGGAGAAACACACACAGACTTGCCTTTCCTGCCGGGAGGCCCTCGGTGACTTCCTCCAGCCAGGCCCGTGGGCCTGCGGTGGCTGCCGTGTGGCAGCTCCGCACGCTCCCTCCGCATCCAGAGCTGCTGCCCAGTGGGGGGCAGGCTGGTGGGCAGTAGGGGCTGAAACAGGGAAACCTGAGCCCTGGGCCACGAGGTCCCAGCTGCTAATTTTAGAGACCACATGTCATTGGAAACTCACTCTTCCTGCCAGGAACCAACGACCTGGCGCTCCGCATACGGTCAGGGGCCCCTGAGCTTCTCCCCAAACCAGGAAGCCCCTGTGAGCCCACTCTCTTGGGGTGATCGCTTCCAAGAGGGATCTGCCAGGGCCCTGGTCGGGGAGCACGCCCGCCGGATCTCATCCCCAGCGCCTCCTGGGGTCCCCCCAAGCGTCCCAGCGCCAGATCTGACAAGGAGCCCCCCTAACAGGCTGCCCGGCCTGGAGCTGCGACCACTCTGTCTCCTACAGCAGGCACCTGTCACAGGGATGCCGAGGGTAGCACCGTTTCCCCCTCGGCCGCCTCAGGCCGAGCCAGCCCGGGCCGCTGTCCCAGGCGTGCGGGATCGGTGGGCGGGCGCCCCATTTTGATAGTCTAACTGAGCTGGAGGGAGTCCTTCCTTCCTTCCTTCCTTCCTCCCTGCCAGACGCCGTCGCTCTGCCAGGCCCACAGCGCCTGCCGGGAACTGGAGCAGTGCGTGCCCTGAACTGCCACCCGTGTGCTCATCATGGCTGCTGCGGGTGGCGTGAGCTGAGCGCTGTGCCTTCTGTCCCAGCCCGAGATGACCGTGTGGCAATGTACCTGACAGACGTGTTCTGGCGGCTGCCTGTAGGAACATGTTTGGAGAGGGGGGTGGGGACTCTTGGTGATTCCAGCTCGTTCTCTCGCTTGGGAGTGGGGCCCGGGGCTCACGAAGGTGCTGTGGTCCCGAGCGGGGGCCTTGGGTTCCCAGAGATGGGGTGGCAGCACAGCCACGGTGCTCTCGCCCTTTTGACCTTGAGGAGCGGCTGCGGTCTGCCGGGCCCAAGATCCGACGAGGGAGCAGCCCGAGTGTTGGGGCCACGAGCGGACCCAGGCGGCAGCGTCCTGGCTCCTGGGCCCGCTCCGAGCACCGTTCCTCCTCGGGACGGGAAGACGCTTCCCTCCCAGCCCCACCTTTCCCCTGGTGCCAGATCCAGGCGGGCAGCCTCACGCTTGGCTACCCGGGCAATCCAGGAGGGCAGGTCTGGGCTGGAGGCAGACGTGGGGGAGTGACTGAGAGCAGGCGCGCGCCAACCCTTTTCCTCTGTCTTTTGCTCACTTCGCCCTTTTCTTTGTAAACAACCTCAGCCTGCTGCGGCGCGTGGTGACACTCATCTCCCAGCAGGCCACGCTGCTGGCCTCCAACGAAGCATTTAAGAAACAGGCGGAGAGCGCTAGCGAGGCGGCCAAGAAGTACATGGAGGAGAACGAGGAGCTGAAGAAGGTGTGTGCTGCGCCGCCTTCCCGCCCCCGCACGGGCTGGAAAGCTGGAGTGCCTGGGGGCAAAGGGCATGTCAGCGACCGGTGCCCTCTAGTTCTTGGGGACTTGAGGGGCAGGGGCACCTCTCTCTGCTGCCCCCAGCCTAGACTTGGGCTGCAAGCAGCTCCCCGGTGAGCCAAGGCTCTCAGCCGGGAGGGGGAGGGGCGAGGCGGGATTGGGCAGTGGCCGGACCCAGAAGGCAGGTCAGGAGGTGAGCCCCGCTGGGCAGGAAGGGCCAGGCCCTTTCTGAGCGACGGGGCCTGGGAAGAGGAAAAGAAGGAAAGAAAAGTATTTGGTCAGTGGTCAGTGGGGTGTGACTGGAAGTCACCAGACAGCCGTTGAGTCACCGATGGCTGCCGACGTGTGTGGAGCGGCCGGGCCTCCTCCTGGGATTGAGCAGCAGGCCCGCTCTGCACTGTGTCTGCCAGGGCCGGTGCCCAGCACCATTGGGGAATCCTAGCACCTCCGTTCGGGCGTCTACCCTGCTCGCTGTCTTCGCAGGCGGTCGGTGCCGGCGGCGGGAAGCTGGACAGCAAGGACAACCTGGGGAACGTAGAGGAGGAGAACCGGACCCTGAAGGCCGACGTGAAGAAGCTGAAGGACGAGCTGGCCGTCAGCAAGCAGAGTGAGTCTCCGGATGCGCAGGCGGCCCAGGGCCCCAGGACTCCCTGCCCAGCCCTGCGGGGGGCGTAGTGCTCAAGGTGGGGAGAAGAGAACGCAGGCAGCGTTTCCAGAGCCCCGCCCACCAGGGTCCACAGGCAGGCCGCCCTGCCTCCTGCTTGCCCTCCCCCACCCGGTCAGCTTTGTCCTCGCTGAGTGTGGCCGGTTCCCATCAGCTTGGCTGGCCAGCCCGCCCCACTTCGAGGCGACATCTTCCCACGCTCGGGCCTGGGGCCTGTCTCCAGCAAGTAGGTCGCCCTCAAGCCTGTGCTCTCTGGCTTTGTTCCCCCAGAGCTGGAGAAAGCCGAGAACGAGGCTCTGGCCATGCGCAAGCAGTCCCAGGGCCTGACCAAAGAGTACGACCGCCTGCTGAAAGAGCACGCCCGGCTGCAGGTCAGACCCCCGCCTCGGAGAAGTGCCCGTGGGAGGCAGGGAAGGGGCGTCCCCGTCAGGAGAGCTGGGATGGGGGCGTGGGGCGGGCGGAGGTGCAGCTCGAGGCCTGAGTGCCAGCCGGGTCCCAGTAGGGCCATCCGGGCAGGCTCTTGGGCGCTGCCCCCAGGTGGAGAGCTCAAGGCGGGAGGCCCCGCTAACTTGGCGCTCTGCGGTTTCTGTCCCTGCAGGCGGCGGTTGATGGGCCCACAGACAAGAAGGAGGAGTGAGGCCTGGCGCCTCCTTGCACGGGGCTCTCCACTGCTCGTGCTGCCTTGAGGCTCAGCGCCCTCCCCCCCCACTTCCCTGCATGCTCCAGTTCAGAGCCCAAGGCTCCTTCTCTCGGCACTATCGAGAGGGTATGAAGAGGCAGTTGAGTGTTCATCTTGGGGTCAATAAAGAATCTGTTCTCCGTTTGGGGGACGGAGTGTGTGTAGACCGAGGCTGTGGAGAGTGAGCGCTCCCCGACAGGCCCCCATCTTGGGGCTGGGGGGCGGGTGGTTTGTGTTCTGCTGCTGCCAGCTCCAGTGCCCCCTGCCCCCGTCTCGCTCCTTGGGACAGGTCTGTCATCTCCTTGGGGCTTGGCACTTGGGGGAGATGTAGGAAGCCAGTAGGGCTACCAGGTGGCCAAGAGGCCTGCCTGCTTGCGCCTATCATCCTGTTGGGGACAGAGAAGGTGGCCGGGTGCCACTGTCACTCCCTGCCCCACCTCCTCGTGAAGATTTGCAGGATGACCTCTGACTAATGCCAGCTGTCAGAGAAAACTTGCCCTTGGCAGTGACCTGCGGCCAGCCGTGGGCAGCGCGTGGCAGCAGAGAGGGGTTCTGGTTGGGGTGGGGCCCACTCCACTTCCGTCCTGCCCCCTGGAACTGGTGGTGGCTCCCTGGGGTTCCCCACTGACTCCAGCTGGCAACTTTCCTAAGCAGGACTGAGTCCTCACAGCTGGCCTGTACCAGATCTGACCTGCCACCTGCCACGTACATCCTGTGTGGCCATCAGGGCTAGAGGGCAGTGGAGGGGGCTTCCCAAAGATTCGGGACTCTTGCAGCTGGTGCTGACGGCCAGTGGGGCGACTCCCGCTCCACTCCTGCCTGCCCTGGCCAGGATGCCAGCTCTCTTCTCCAGTGTCCCACGGCTGTCACAAGGAGTGTCGCCCCTTCCCGGCCAGTCGGGGGTGGTGTCCGAGGGGAGGGCCTGGTGCCACCCTCTTGGTGCCCTGCCAGGGCTGCAGGCTCGTGCCACTTCTCCAGGAAGTGTCCCCGGCTCCCTGGGCCTCCCTGGGCTCCTGAGGCAAAGTCCACGCACACAGTGAGCCTGCTGCCCGGACCTGCTTGGGAACATCCCATGCACTGAGTGGAGGGCTTCCGGCTCCCAGAGCGATTTCGTGAGCAGGCAGCAGAGATGGGGCTTGGGATGGCCATGGTTTGCCGGCGGTGCCAGGCTGGAGATTGCCGGGAGGCAGCCAGTTGCCCGCAGCCTTGGATGCAGAGTCGGGGCCTTCAGGACCCCAGAGTGGGTCTGTGCAGTCGGAGAGGGCTGTGCTCTGCGGGGACCCTACACCCTACTGGCAGCTCACTGGAGGGCCAAGGGCCAGCCCCCAAGTCATCTCTCCCCCGAGTCTGCGGGAGCAGCCCCGGATCTGAGACAGCTGCTTGGGGACGGGCGATGAGGCGCACCTCAGGGCATCACACGCCACGTGACCCACAGCTGTCCCCACTCTGCACTTACTGTCTGGGGGTGCTGGTTTCCTGGGGAATCACATCATGGGTCCTTTGTGACCACATCAGTGACACGTGGCTTCAAGCTGAGTCCAAGTGGCCTTTCCCCCCCATGTGGACCCATCGGAAGTTTGGGGTGCCTGCACCCCTCTTTCTTCACTTCGGCAAGCCACCCCTCCTCCACCTCTCTCTGGACCTCTGATCTGGTCCCCAAACCCAGGATCCTCTCCTGCCCCAGCCAGCTCTGCGTTTGCCAGTTGAGTGTCACCTGAGAGCCCAGAGCAGCCAGGACCCCTGCACTCTTGGGGTCTGCCCGCCACTCGCTCCACGTCCACCGCACCCCAGACCTCTGTCCTGGTGCCGCTGCACCTGGCGAGCCGCCCCCAGCCCAGGCTTCCCATGCTGCCTCGCTGGGCTCTGGGACTCCCGCTCCCGTGCTCTGCACCTGGGAAGGCCACTGCTCACGGGTGGGAGCTCCTCCCGCCTCCCGGGCCAGCCAGGCAGTTCCTGAGGGAAGGCCTTCCTTCCTGCCCCTGCCCGTGGTGCCCCTCGGAAGCCACGCCCCACCCACCCCCGCAGAGGTCAGGAGGCGGCTTTGGAAAATGACATGTTTTTATTGCTATGTTTGCAGCGGCTTTTCGGCACAGTAAGAATGCAACCCCCCGCCCACCCCGCCCCACCCTCCCCCAGTCCCACCCCCAGCCCAGGTCCAGGCACGGGGGTTGGGTGGCCTCTCTCACGTCTGCGCTTGGGATTGGAGGTGACATGATGTGGGTTAGTTAAAGCTGCTACATGAGAGCCTTGGGGCGTGCCAAGTGCATCAGCTTGAAGCTAGCAGGCGGGGACCCTGCGGGTCCCTTCTCTGCAGGGTGCCCACCTCCCCGCCTGCCCAGCCCAGGGGCAAGGGGAAGGGGAGACCTGTGCGTGCCCCGTGAGCAGCCCTATGCCCCGGGGCTGCCGGGGGACCAGAGGGGAGTGCGTTTTACCGCCCCAGTCAGCACTGAGGACTCGACATGCGTCCCCACACAAGAGACTCGCATGGCTTGAAGCTTTTGTTTTGCCTATGAAAATTAGATCTATAAATTCACGCTCCTTGGCTGGGGTCAAAGAGGAAGGAGGGAGGGTGGAAGGGCACAGGGAGTGGCCAGGAGAGGGGTCAGGGCTATTTTTCTCTTAAGAAATATACAAGCAGAAATCTCTCTCCCAGTTTTTATAAAATGTGCAAAATACAAGCCTCGTGGCCCGCAGGCTCGTTCACACTGATGTTCCCCGCGGCTGGGCTGGAGGGCGGCGCCCAGGCCACAGGCACTCACTCACACACAGGCTCACACAATGGGTGTCGGTGGCAATGGGCGCGGGAACCGCGGGTCCCTTTGCTGGCTCTCTAAGCGTCTAGAGTGGGGATGGGGAGACGGGTTTCGCCCAGCCCAGCGACGTTCGCCATTCGCCTGGCCGCCGCGCCACTGCCTCTGGGGCCAGAGCCCCGGGCACGCACGGAGCCAGGGAGGCGGGGCGGGCGGGGGGCCGGGAAGCAGCGTGCACACCAGCTTGCTGGGGGGGGGGGCAGGGAGGAATCTATTTTTGGTGGGTTGTGTGATATTTTTGGCGTTTTATTAAAAATGGAAAAAAGTTCTAGTGCGCACTCGTGCTGGTCCCTGCCCTCCCCCGGCAGACCCCAGCAGTGTCAGGGAAAGGCAGGCCCCTGCGGGAGGGGTGGGGGCGGCCGAAGCGGGGGCTGCTATGGCTACAGGAGGACTTGCTGGTGCGGCCCGTCACATGACGCTCTCCACCACCACCACCTTGCTGCTCTCGGACACTGGGGTCAGGGTGGTCAGGCCCCTGACGTCCGAGTCCTGAGCTCTGTATTCCAGGTGGTGGAGACCCCACACGGGCTGGGTCAGGTGCTGCCAGCGCTGTGGGGACAGGCGGTGCTGAGTGTCCCCGCCGGCGCCCCGCTGCCTCCCGTGCTCCCGCCCGCCTGGCCCCAACTCACCTCCGCCAGGCTCCCCTTGGCCCTGAGGAGGGAGCCCAGGAGGTAGAGGGGTACGCAGAGCATGGAGGAGAGCGCGAAGCCCCAGCCCATGGCCTCGCCCCACCACGGGTACACGTAGGTGTTGTTGTACACCAGCGGCTTGTAGTATACCAGGTTGAAGATGAAGATACCCTGCGGGGGGTGGCGGTGCTTAGGGGGCCCTTGGTGCCCCCGCCCTGGCCCCGGGCCCTTTCCATGAAGAGCAGTGGGGGCGCCAGGCTCACCCCTCGCCCTGGCCCTGCCCCTTACCATGCAGACCAGCGGGGTGAACAGGGACCAGCACCATTTCATCCAGGGGCACGGGCGGTACCCGATCATGCAGGCCACGTCGTCCATGAAGCGGTCAGCTCCTGGGGCCGGGAAACAGTCGGTCACCCTGGTGCCCCCAGGCCTGCCCCGCTGCCCAGCCCCCAGCCCTGCTTGCCCGTGCAGCCCACCTACCGTACACCCAGGCGACCACCACGCACTCCCAGAAGGCCTGCCAAAGCAGGGTGGTGCCGCTGGCCGAGTAGTGGTCGAAGAGCTGGAAGACATACATGCCGCCCTGCCGCAGGCGGGTGGGCGGCCCTAGGTCAAGGGAGGGGCAGAGGCTGCCGAGGGGGCCAGGCGCCCCGGGCCCCTACTCACATCGGTCACCATGGAGAGGTCGATGACGAAGCAGAGGGCGCAGCACAGTGCCACCGAGATCTCCCTTTGGAAGCGGAAGTAGTAGGAGGCCGGCAGGAGGTCCAGCAGGCCGGTGATGAAGCCCTCCACGCCTACAAACTGCAGCGGAGCGTTAGGCCTTGGCCGCCCTCTGCTCCCACCTCCCTGGCCCCTGCCCCCCCCCCCCCCACAAACCTGGCTGTCCAGGCCGAGCAGCAGCAGCATGAAGAAGAAGAGTGCAGCCCACAGCGGGGCCACAGGCATCAGCGTGACAGCCCGGGGGTAGGCGATGAACGCCAAGCCAGGCCCTGGGGGACAGGTGTAGGTCAGCCGTGCTCGAGCCAGGGCACCCGCTGCGGGCTTAGGGTCAGAGGTCACCGTGAGCCCCGGAAGGGCGCGCGTACCTGACTCTGCCACCTTGGAGATATGCACGCCTTGTTCTGTGGCCATGAAGCCCAGGATGGAGAAGACCACGAAGCCGGCGAAGAAGCTGGTCCCGCTGTTGATGAGTGCCAGGATGATGGCGTCCCTGTGAGCAGAGGGGAGGAGAGGGACACGTTTGGCCGGGGTGCCTGGCACCGCGAGGGGCAGGGAGTAGGGTTGAGGCCTACTTGTAGCAGTTGTTGTTGAAGCGATTGTAACTGCCCAGGGCCGTGAGGGCTCCCAGGCCGATGGCATAAGAGAAGAAAATCTGGGTCCCTGCGTCAATCCACACCTGGAGAGGGCGGCAAGGAGCTGGCGTGAGGGGCCTGCGGGGTGGCCCGCCCTCCCCCGCCCCCGCCCGTCTGCCCCAGCTCACCTGCGGGGACCCCAGCTTGGACCAGTCGGGTTTGAGATAGTACAAGATGCCGTCCAGGGCGCCGGGCAGGAGCACTCCACGCACCAGCAGCACGACGAGGACCACGTAGGGGAATGTAGCGGTGAAGTACACGATCTAGGGGGCCAGGCGGCTCAGGCGGACCCCAGCACCCCAGCACTGCAGCTCAGACTGCCCCGAGGCATGCGAGTGTGTGTGCGTGTGTGTGCGTGTGACCCCTGCTCAC